CCGCTGTATCATTTTCCTGTAAGAACCTCAATCAGCACCCTATCTAGTTTAATGTAGGGTTACCATACGTCCGGTTTTCCCCGGACATGTCCTCCTTTTTGGCCTTCACATTTCTGTCCGGGCGGATTTTTGAGTATAGAATTTGTCCGGGATTCATCCTCCGGTCACCAATATTCGGAATTTTTTCGACCCGGCAACATTGGTGCGACGACACGTCCGTAACGTTTCCTGCTTCCTATTCCCTCCATTTGGAGTCTCTCCTCGAGACTTCATGGTCACCATCTCAACTTCGCATTCCGTGGTGAGAGTCAGCAGGTTTCACGCCTCAAATTTCCACAGCTTCATCGATGTCTTCATCAACCATTTCAAGTTCTTAGTGAACGAAGTCAGATACCTCACATATGATGCTACCCAGAAACTAGAGCGCCACATCGAGTCGCATGGTTCATGTTATTTGCCATTGCCGAGCCCCTTAAAAAAAGGAGGTATGGAAACAGGAAATCGCTGATAACGCTTAGGTACTTGATCGACACTCCTTATAACGCCCTTTGACGCGCACGTGCATCAACGGCAGCGAACGTGTTGCTGCACTGTGAAGCTCTGAAAGTTTTTTAAAATTATATTTATTTTAAATGTATGCACATTGTGACCAATAAATACCTGACAAATAAAAGCTCTGTGACTTGCATATTAAAAAAAAATAGTAATTGAAATAATTTCTACTTCATAGTATACCATATACTGTTGAGTTTTAAGGATGAGTTTTAACTATTAAAAATAATGTTGCGTAATTGTCCGCCTCCTTCTGATATGTACTGCCACGCACGTGTCATTGTGTTGCCCATCACTCCATCACTTTGTGAATCATGTCTGGTAATTTTGGCCATTTCAAGTTCGATGTTTCATCTTAATTGTTTACGGGACCCTGGTCTATTTTCGTAAATGCATGACTTTAAAGTGCCCCATTGAAAAAAAAATTGAGGGCTGTAAAGTCAGGACTTCCGTCTGGCCATAAAAATCTCCAGATATTGAATTGAGACGGTTAAGAAACAACTTTTTTTTTATCAACTCCTTTAATGCGCGGGCAGTATGGGCAGTTGTCCCATCCTCGTTACCATTTAATCCCACCTAATGCTTTGGGAAACGGGCAGAATAGCCACAGTTAAGTTTGAGCGATACACCAGGTGATGAATAAACTTATCCCAAAACTCAAAAAGATTTCAACTTTCTGTTAGTGCATCGAAAATGGGTGAAGTAATTCAACAGCTCAAGAAATGCTGACTCTCTCTCAGAGTTGCTAAAGATAGCACATTTTTCCTTTGCTATTCCTTCTGACAATGCAAATGTGGAGAGAGTTTTTTCGCTAATGCAAAGCCAGTGGACACAGGAAAATAACAACTTAGCTGTTGAGTTTGTGAAAGGGATCCTTCTTGTGCAGTATACCATTGAGCATGTGTATTGTATACAGATTTTCAGTTACTTGCTGAATCAACATCGAGGAATGTGTTCAACAGAAAAGTATGCATGGGCGCCAAAAAATTAGTACGAGGCTTGTGTGACATGCATTTGCTTATATTTTTAATAACTGAGAAAAAAAAACATGCTGAGAAATTTCTCATCTCTTGCTCATTTTAGCCACTGAACAGGGAACCTTGATTTTCCAATAAAAATAAATATTCCCTGGATAAATGAAGGTGTCCTCCTTTTGGCTGTCTGAAATATGGTAACCCAAGTTTAATGGATAGTGCCATTTGTACGGTGATATCAATGCGATCACAGATATTTCATCTCAACGAAGTAAATAATGACGTGTGGACAACGGAAGCATGGTGCTCCTCCTCGCTGAATACCGTGCTCTATAGCAAGAGTCCGATTGTTCGACATGAGTCGAACATTGTCTATAAATATACAGGGTGGGCTAAAGGAAAGGTTACACTTAGAGTTCCATGTCAAAACAACAATAACAAACAATAACAATATGTATTGAAAGAATAATTTATTGAAATAACAATGTATTTAAATAACAAAGTTTAAAGTAAATTTTCAAATACGTTGCCATCACATTCCACGTGTAAGCCTACATAAATGATTTTTTCAAAATGTAAGTTGTTAAGTGTAACCTTACTTTTGACCCACCTTGTATTTTAGGGCATGTGGCAATGTAGATTGCACCTCTATTAAGCCTTTTTATAGTTTTAGGACTGAGTAAGAGGTGATTGACATGCATAACTCCTTAACCTTTTGCGGTCGGTTTTTCTCGCAACGCTATGGACATTGTCGGGCCACGCCCGACAGTTGACTGCAAAAGTTTAAGTATCAGCAGTGCAGACGTTGCGGAATTGCCCAATCGGAAAATGAACCATCGGTGAATTCCGTAACTTCTTGCTGGGACATTTCCCGTATTCTCCTGACGGCAAGGTTTTTAATTTTGCACTCTTATCGCTCAGTCTTCGGTCGTGCTTATTCAGGCCGCATCCGACTTCCAAGTCATAGTTACCTATAATAAGCTGGGATATTGTCATTTGCAAAGAAATGTGAAACAGCAAAGGTAAAACCAAAAACGCAGCAAGAGCCAGAGGACGAAGGAAGTAGCCAATGACAATAAGCAATAAGGGTAGCACAAGCAATAAGAATGTGCATGAAGATCAAGATGCGGCAATAAACGTCACATCGTATGGCAGGATGGGTTTGTGTGGGACTCCAAAATGTATGGAGTGCCATGAACAACCATAAATGATAACAGAGGGTTGGCAAATAATGTTTCAACATTGGAAACTGAGAGTATTATAATTTCACTGTCTTGAATTAATATATTGAGGATTATTTAGGCCATACGTTAGAGATCCTTCCCCTTTTAATCACGCCTTGAGGCACCCACTTCACATCGGCACAAAAAAAAAGAAAACCAAGGGAAAAGACAAAAAACACCTTTTACTTGTCATGGGGAGTCTCGGAGACGGCCTCTTCCGCTTTGTTCGGTTGAGATGTTGTTTTGCCCTTGATGCCTGAACTCCTGGTAAACCTGAACATGGGAAGAACTCTTATCCACCATTGCCAAAGTTAAGGGCCTGAGAACTAATAGCTTCGCCCTTGAAGGGCGAGGGGGCATGGAAGTGGTAAGGGTTGCGGAATTGCCAGAATGATGTTGCGGCTTCAGCAGAAGGGGTGCGGAATTAGCCGAATGCTCATCGGGAAGGATGATCACGAGAAAATCTAACCTTGGACATTCTAATGAGAGATATATTTCCGTGCTTCGAGTCATCGGATTCGTATTTTCCTCAAGTTTCATCGAAGGTATAATACAACATGGTCCTGTGCACACAGACGCCGTCAGCTCCGGTGAAACAAGAGAACAAATAGTTGGGATGCAAAGTCGTTGCGGAATTCACAGATTTGCCCTGAGTCTGCTTGGCCTGTCTGGGCAGGTCCAGGCATGGAACTGCGACTTTGCGAGTTTTGCAATAGGGGAGAGGGAAGTCAACAGACATTCCCACGCTCCCAATGCCTACTCCACTGTTAGTAAGGGTGGTCAGTGTGGGTGGGTAGCAGGGTTGGCTCTTTGTGTCGTGTGAGTGATTTCTTACTAAATTACCCTTCTAATAAATTCCAGTCGCATAATTTTTTTTAAATACAAAAACCTGTTACGTCACATTCGTGCACCCCCCTCCTCCTCCCGTAACAAATCGTAACACTGTCTGATCCTCCCCCTCGCGTTACGTAATTTGTGAACTCGACGCGCTGTCAAAGGACGAAAGGGCCACCCTCCCAGTAAAATCCGGAACACTGGGGAACCCCCGGAGTGCCTCCTCCACCCTAACTACCCTCGCCACTAAATCATCCCTCTGTACCTCCTTCCTGATCACTCTTATCTCCTCCTCCACGCTAATGAGCCTTCCCGATAGCTCCCCTAGTCGCTCCTCCAAGCTACAAACTCTGCATACCTGGCATACCTCGCGTTCACTAGTCCCACCTACCCTATCCCCACAACGAATGCATCTACACATCCTAGGCATGTAGGAGGTACTTTTATAAAGATGATGAAATCACAGTAAAAGATAATGCGCATGTCCGGCATAACGGAATAAAAGGGTCGCGCGAGAGAGTAGCGGGGGTCGGGTCGGGTCGAGTCGAGTCGGGTATGTCAAGTGAGTGAGTCGGACAAGGGAGTCGAATTGTAGAATAGTGAGGAGAAACCTGAGAGAAGACGCGGGATATTGAGTGGACCCTTGACGTCAGTGCTGCAGATCGTATGCTGTCTGTCACCCCACTGATACCACACGGGTTTATATTCAGGTATTGTTCGTTGAGTATCTATTGCCTAATGAGCGTTTAAGGGAGCAGAATTTTTGACATTTTGTCCCATATCCATTTCCTGGTTCTCATTATTATTGACCTCTTTCCAAGCCGGTTGTCACAATAAAGTAGTTGTATATTTAAGGAGTCAACGGAGTCATTATAAACCTCGAACACGCTGGCGATCTCTTCGTGATAGTTATTAACGTTAAATCACGTCGGAGCCGCCTACAGGCATCTTACTTAATGTTATTGATGCCTATTGACACTCCTACTGCTTTAGACTTATACTTTGCAGTACTTCACACTAGTTGTAACCCGGTAAGGCTGTACTGTCCTAGTCCTTGTAGTAAAAAGAATACTACGAGTAATGCGCTAGTAATTAAAGTAATTAAGCTGATTGATACTGATCTAATGTGAAGTTGGAGGTAGCTATCAGAAAACTTATGAATACTGCTACAAAGTAGCCAGGTAACAACTAACTCACGACTTAGCTGACAGAACCTCGAGAGTATCCTCCAGCACGTCCTCACGCTACGAACGCTCGACCAAGACTGATACCACTATCCAACCTTAATACCTTGATCACATGCTTAACAACCATGCCTTGGCCCCATCCACCAACACCCCATTTAAATTAAATTGGAATAATGGCTCAAACCTGGAGCAACAAGCAGGATTTGGCAACACTGTCGGTCACCGGTCATGGGAAGTGTCTAGAAAGCTGGGAGACCACGTGGTTACAGGCGTCATCGCAAGTCGTTCGTTTTGTTCCATCCCAAGCGGAAAACCGCAGACGTCGGTTTGTATTACCTCCCTTCACACCTCTTCATAGGTTTGTAGCTCGTACACCCAAGTAAAAGTAAGGTAAAAGAACGAAAGATCATAAAGGGAGTTGGTAGCGTGGAGCTTGGTAGATTCTTCCAACTCGATGGTAGCAGCAGAACGAGAAGAAAGTTCGTAAACCCCAAGCGAGACTCAGGTATTACTTGTGAGGTAGTGAACGCGTGGAATGCATTGATTGTCTATTTAGTGGCTGCCCCTACCGTTACTAGCTTTAAGAAGAAGCTTGATGCAAGCGTTCAGCAAGCAAAACAAGGTAGGGTTCGCCTTTTGGCGTCTGCAGCCAAACATAATGGAGGGAAGTGTGGAGAAGTATCCAAACATCGAGCATGTGGGTTCATTTTCATTCCATTTTCTTGCTGTTTTATAAACAATGGGACTTTCGGTAGAGAGAAGGCTAACGAGCGGTGAACTTGTCCAGGCTTTTAAGATCATAAAGGGAGTTGGTAGCGTGGAGCTTGGTAGATTCTTCCAACTCGATGGTAGCAGCAGAACTCGAAGAAAGTTCGTAAACCCCAAGCGAGACTCAGGTATTACTTGTGAGGTAGTGAACGCGTGGAATGCATTGATTGTCTATTTAGTGGCTGCCCCTACCGTTACTAGCTTTAAGAAGAAGCTTGATGCCTTCATGTAAATAGCAGAAAAGGGGAGCAATATAATCCTAAGTAACTAGGCATTAAGTGGCCAAGCTTCCACAGAAACATCTTAAGAGGGGTAGGCCTAAGTATGATATAGAAACGCTTGACCTTGGCACTGGACGTCATTATGAGCGGAAGCGCATCTTGACGTCCCTATCAGAACCTTGGACGTTGAGCCTAATGTAAGAGCTATCAGCTTCCTACTCTAGTAATCCTTTAACTGCTAAGCTCCAGTATACTTGTGTGAAAGTCCATGCCCGTGGCACAATGCTCAAGCAGACTTGTTTTTTACATTTGAGCCACAGGCATCCAGTTTTGTATTATCAAGATGATGGGGCAAAAAGAATATCATTTCTGACCCTAAAATTCCACAATGTTCTCAATGAAGTTAACAGACCAAAAAAAATAAAACAGTTTTGGGGTAGGAGATGCACTTTTTAAAACTCAGCAGTTAAAGAGATGATGGCATAATTCAATAGTACAGTGAAAACTCATTAACTTGAACTTTTAGGGACCGGGGGAAATTGTTTCGAGTTATCCAAAGTTCTAGTTATCAGGAATCCCTCAGGTTATCCCCCCCCCCTCCAAAAAAAAAAAATAAACTCACATTAAGGGACATAGGGGACAGAATGGCTCAGAGTGAGAGCAATAGATTGACAGAGCGAATGTTGGAGGCTTTTTCATAGCTGAAGCTTTTCGGTTTTAATCCTCAGGTTTAATCCTCTCCACAGGCGTCTGTGTGGGAGGAGGGAGAAGCAGAAAAAAAAAAACGAAAGAAACAAAAGAGCATCCTCCTGAACAGGTTTTTTGTAATTAATTCTGTTCAAAAATTGCAAATTTTTCCCATGAGAATTTTTCCCCCCCTTCTCACCCTGAATTCGAGTTAACTGAGAAAATCATTATAGGGACCAGAAATTTCATTAGAGATATCTGGAAATTTGAGATAAGCGAATTTGAGTTAAACTGAATTTTTAATATGGTGTCCTATAGGGTTCCTCTGGGACCGAGCATTGAACATTGAGATTAGCGGAATTTCAGCTTATCAGGATTAGAGTTGACAAGTTTTCACTGTATATGGACTACCACTTGTCATTGAATTTAAGGCACTTGAGATTGGTGAACAGGGGGACAGATGTAGTTCATGATATGAATCCCCCTACCTCCCTCCTGCATGCTGCTCATTCATTGTTTATGTGAACAATTTTTTTGAGTGAATATGGCATGAAGAACATCAGATATGGTAGGCTTGTGCTCACAAGGTGAGCCTCTTCATTGTATAGGAGGGGACAGGACTCCAAAGGGGTGAACATTGCAATCAGTGCCCCTTCCTAAATTTACTGAGTATGTAGAACCCTCAGAAATTTAAGGCACTCTTTGTTGTGTGGTTACCATTCTGATTCTTGATGCTTATCCATTAGTGGGCTTTAGGCCTAGATTAGTTGCCTCTGAGACGAAACTTAATGTGACTTGAATGTCACAGTGTCCTGTGGCAAAGCAAGAATTCTGATTGTCACTGTCAGCTCTAAAAATTTTTGAAGCAGGACCCCCAAGAGTTGTGCACATGGGATAAATGGCTCCACTGAGTGATGAAGCAAGGATGAAGGTAAGGGAATGGAATGTATACTCTGTGTTCAGGGAAGGTGTTAAGCAAGATATAAGAGAGTTAGTGGAATGTTCTAAACAAGCTCAAGATGAAATAGAAAGTTGAAATCAGGTATATAAATAGTTCTCAGGGTGCTTCTGAGAAAATCATCATTTTAGGGGTATTTTTGGCATTTGGACTAAGCATTTTTTTGGCCTAAAAATAATATTGGATTAGGTTTGTTTCATTTCAGTGCTTGTTCTTGTTGCATTGAAAAATCGTTCTAATATGGGTAGTTTGAAATACTTAGGTAAGATTTGGGTGAATTCCTTCCAACTATTCAGAAGATATTTCATCATATTTTAAGAAATATTAATAAATATGAGTTATTTTCCCATTATGTTCATGAGGACTTAATATGGACAGCAGGAAAATAAAAAATTAAATTTTTTTTTAATGTGTTCCTTTGGCAGCTTCATCCCAAAGAGGTATAAAGCAATTGATGAGTGTATCGCAGTACTATATAGGACTGTTGGAGTCAATTTGAAACCAATTGTAATACCTGTTCAACTCTTATAGTCAGAGTAGATCAAATGTATATCTAGTGTGGATAAAAGTACTAGCCCCAAACCACATAATATGTGGGTGGTTCATGTGAAATCTGAACCTTCCTTACCAACCACATATCCTTATCCAAGATGGCATCTACTTGTATCAGTGTGAAAATGGACAAGGCTTTGCCTTGTTATTTATTGTGGAGGAGAATGTGAACCCTGTTGAAATTCATGGCATACATTCATATAAATATGGTGACATTACCCTATCATGTTGAAGTGAAAATTATTGGTGTCCACAATTTCATGAAGGGAGACAGCATGCTGGTGGTGCTGAGTATTCTGGTGTACCACCCTCTGTGGTGACCTGACCGAACATCACACATGTGAATGAGTGTATCACAGGGGTTCATTGTGGAAAGATGCACAAAATAGCAAAGTAATTTTAACTGTGCAGAAAAAGTTTATTTAATTGGTTGAAATTCTAGAAAGTGTCATTCCAAAGACACCCAAGAATCTGATCAAGCTTTGGGAGAGAGAGAGAGAGAGAGAGTAGCTTTATTTTTCTAAGGAACACATATGCAAAAATATGCACACTGAATGCTGGTGTGGGTTGAATTGATGATCATGATGTGCATAAATGCAAAAAAAAAGTCCCCATTGAAATACGTGACATAGACAAAAATCTTGATTTTTCTCAAAATCATTACTTCTATGATTTCTAGTGTGCTTAACTTGAAATACTTTCCTCCTATAATCTACACTAAGCGGACATATTTCAGAAGTAGGATTTTTCCTGTACTCAGCCATCAAATAGGTACTTTTGAGGGAAGTTTAAATTTTCTGTCTCTGTTTCATTGGATTAAAAAAAATTCTGGAAAATGGGACTTAAAAAAAAAGTGCCATGATGGGTTTTAACAAAAAGTTTTTTTCTTCTGAAATATAGACTCAGGGAACTCCATGCCACCTGGTTTCAGCCTTATACGTTTCCCCTTTTTGCTGGTGGTAAAAAATATATTTGGAAAAGTGACCCACCCAAAAGCTGTGCTCTGAGGAGATGCACAAAAAAAGTTGAATTTTTCCTTAAATCAACATCACGTTCGTTATGTGTACACCAGCTGCTACTTTTCTATCTCTGCCTGATTTGCTAGGATATGAAAAATTCTTTGAAAACGCAACGTCCCAAAGAAACATGCCCCCAAAAAATATTTTGGAAATTTGACATTTTTCCCTGAGCTCAGTGTGTCAGCAGTCACGTTCTTGCCAAGTTTCAGTTTTCTATGCGTCTCCATTTGATCGAAGCAAAGAGAACTATTTGAAAATATGTTCCCCGAATAGGTGTGCCCCTATGGCATGTATCACCAAAGTAGAATTTTTCATGAACTCAGCATGCGAATAGCTACTTATGTCAGTCAGTCAGGTACTCACAATTGCCTATATATAATAAAAGTAGAATTTTTTCTTTACTCAGTTATCCATCAGGTTCTTCTTTGCCAAGTTTAAACTTTCTAGCACCCTCTGTTTTGCTTGATTAGAAAATTTGAGAAAATACCCCTTTTGCAATATATGTGCCCTGAGGCATTTTAACCAAAAAGTACCATTTTTTACCAAAATCAATCCTCAGAGAACTACATGTTCACAAAGTTTCAAATTTATACATTTTCCCTTTTTGCTGGTGAGAAAACATGCTTGGAAAAGCCAACCCACCCAAAAGCTATGCCCAGAGGGTATGCACCATGAAAGCTGAATACTTCCTCAACTCAATAATATCTTGTCACTTATATGTGTGCCAAGTTTCACCTTTCCATTTCTGTCCAATTTGCCATGACAACAATTTTTTTTAAAAACATCACCCGTCTAAAAAATTCCCCCAGGGGATGTATCGAGATGTAACATTTTTCTTTAACTTCTTGTCTCAGTAGTCACATTCATGCAAAGTTTCAGCTTTCCATGGTCATCAGTTTAACTGATGCAAAAAAATTAGTTGAAAACATCTCCCTTTGAAATTTGTGCCCCCAAGGCATTTACTTCCAAAGTCTGAATTTTTCTGCATGCAGCATCCCAATAGGTAGTTATGTACCAAGGTTCATCTTTCCACACTAGCTCAATACACCAGGACAAAAAAATTACTTGAAAACGTCCGCCCCCAAAAATATGCCCCCAGGGCATGGATCTAAAATTTTACATTTTTCCTGAACTCATCATCTCTGTAGGCACGTCCTTGCCAAGTTTCGGCTTTCCATGTCTCTCCATTTTACTCAAGCAAAAATATTGTTACAGAGGGGTAATGAGTAATGGGACTTGGAAGGCATGAGAGGCTGAAAGAAAGCCAAGGAATGGCCGGAAATTGAACCTGGGACTCCTGATTGCCAGTCAGGTGTGCTACCACTACACCACCGAACCTGGGACATCCAGCCAAGCCTGTTGATGCCATCCTCATCTGTCAAAATATATATTTAACCCTTTCGGCGTCCACTCGAATCTTTATCCCACAGGAAAGCATGCAGGTGCATCCCGAGTAAGTACTTGGGATGATGCCAAAATGGTTAAAAACTTC